GGGCTAGGGCTAGGGCTAGGGCTAGGGCTAGGGCTAGGGCTAGGGCTAGGGCTAGGGCTAGGGCTAGGGCTAAGGGCTAGGGCTAGGACTAGGGATAGGGATAGGGATAGGGATAGGGGCTAGGGCTAGGGCTAGGGCTAGGGCTAGGGCTAGGGCTAGGGCTAGGGCTAGGGCTAGGGCTAGGGCTAGGGCTAGGGCTAGGGCTAGGGATAGGAGTAGGGCTAGGGCTAGGGCTAGAGCACGAGGATGTTGTTGACGCCTCCCAGCTTGACGTTGATCTTGAGGCACAGGTTGGAGAGCGTCTGCGGAGACGTCTTGATCACGTTCTTCACCTGGACGCACTGCGTGGCCACGCCTAGCAACGTGTCTCCCACCCGCTTCACCTCAGCTGAAGGGAACAACAAAACTTGTCAAACAACAACAACAACACAGTGACCCTAACCCCTCAACCCTAACCTCCACCCGCTTCACCTCCGCTAAAGGGAAAAACAAAAGTCGTCAACAACAACACCCTGGCCCTGACCTGTAAACCCTAACCCCTCCACCCTAACCCCTCCACCCTAACCCCTCCACCCTGACCCCTCCACCCTGACCTCTCAACCCTGACCCCTCAACCATAACACCCAACCCTAACCAGCTACAAGCCATATTCACTTGTTTGTTTAGGTGCTTAGTATACATGTTTGTTCCTTACCATAGACAGGTCTTTTGCCAGGTAGCTCCTAGTTTGTTTGTTTGTTTACACGTTTGTTTGTTTGTTTGCTCCTTACCGTAGACAGGTGTTTTGCCAGGTAAGACCACCAGGATCAGCTGCAGGCCCTGGAAGGTGTTTTTCAGGTAGCGGAACATTTTCTCCACCTGGTCTGCTCCGGTGGCGTACAGAAACACGGCTGGCCCAGGATGGGCATGCCTGCGTCGTTTGAGATCCGCTGAAGCGACTGCGTGAAATTTCTGCAGTAGACGGAAAACAAAATTACTGTTAAACTTTTAAAGAAGCTTAGAAAACAAAAGAAACAGCACGGCTGGCCCAGGATGGGCATGCCTGCGTCGTTAGAGATCCTTTGCAGTGACTGCGTGAAATTTCTGCAGCAGGGGGAGCGAGAATTGTTACAGTAATGAAAAAAAAAGTTAGCAAACACTAGTTGGGCAGCCTTCTGTATCTTCAGCCAAATCTTATAAATAAAAATAATACGGCCTAGGAAAAAAAATGCTTCAACACTCGGGTGTCAGATCATGGAGCTAGAAAAGGTTGATCAGCTTGAAAAATTTATATCCCAAAAAAAGGTAGGGTCAGCAGTTTTTTATTGGATCAGTCGGGGAACAGGAAACACATCTTTTTCTCATAGGCCTAATAAAAGTATACATTTTTCCGTACCTGAGAGCCTGCTCGCTGCACTGCCTCTGTGGGGCGAAGCATGCCATCGCCCAGACCCGGATCTCGATCCCGGTGTGGAACTGTTTCCCTCGCATGTCCCACACGCCCTGGTTAGGTACAACTGTCGCCCGAGTCTGTGGGAAAGGTAAAAGTTTCTATTATCTATACAGTTATTTACTCCTGTTCTGAAACAACAGGAGCTATTTGACTAATTTTCATGATCCTTATCTTGACTTAAATATTTGTCTTCACTTATTTGCATATCAATCAATAGTTTGTGCTTATAAACCTGCTTTTCTGTCTGCAGGAGCAATATCATTGGTTTATTTCTCAAACAGCACAAGAAAATTTACAGTACATTACACAATGCCATCACTTCAGAGCCAGTAATGCTGAATTCTGTGATTAGTTCAATTTCTTCAAAGCAAAGAAAACTAAATGCTACGCCTAGTTTGACATCTTCACTACCACAAGCAAACACACAGCAATGCCCCCCCCCCCGACAAGGAAATATTCAACGACAAATACTGATGGAAGACTTCAATATTAGGCCAGAAACAAGTACAGCTGCTGCTGCAGGCAACACTTATAGAAACACCCATCTCTAGTTATAGTAGACCTATTCTTGAGCTTGATCACAAATTCGGTTCTTTTGAAATATACAATGTTTATTACTGGATAATGATCACAGAATATTTCTAAATTCAAATATAACTGTTTGACCTTCCTCATCAGTATTTGACCTTCACCTTGCCATGCCCCCCCCCCCATGCCCTTATAACCCGGGGTCAGAGTGCGCCGTTTACATTGTTTAGCCTGCCTCCGTACTGCAGCATCGGGGGGTCAAGGACGCGACCTTCGATCTCCGCCATGTCCGTCGAGATGTTGATCCCAAAGTCACGCACGTAGGGGTCAGAGTTGAAGTTTGCTTTCTGCATCTGGAGATGAATGAAATTGGAAATGTAATTATAACCCAACACCAAAGGGTGCCTGCTACAGCACCAGTTACCATGGTGACAGACGTCTGGTCCAGTGGATTGACATATAATTTACAACTGATGCAAGTCAAGTGGATCTATTTCTTTCACTGATTAGAACAAAAAAAAAAAACACAGAAAATTTAATCTACTCCTGACATTGATCGGGAAATCTTTCACTCACCAACTTGATGATTTCTTTTTCTCTGTCCGGTGCAGACCGAGCTGTGGCCTGTGGAAAGCATAAAATTTACGATGATCATTTTTATTTCAAGGTCTACGACCTGATTAAGACATAATAAATTATTTGAAAATATTGTTTAAAAAATGCCAGCAGGACAAGGGTTAAAATTTGTAACAAAGAAGGCATTATGGGAAGATATCCCTATCCCTATCCCCATCCCTATCCCTAACCCTATCCCCATCCCTAACCCTATCCCTATCCCTATCCCTAACCCTATCCCTATCCCTATCCCTATCCGCACAACACAGTATTCATGGGCGAACCCCGTAGTGAAAAGTAGTCCGGGCACAAAGTAGTGCTACACAATACTAGGGAAGGGTGCAGAGATTGTTTTGTGCATGGCATCGAGACAGAACCTGTGGTAAATGTTAGAGGAATACGTCAGTTTTGAGACTGTTAAAGTTGGATTATGGTGCGTGTTGAGTCGGCGTAGATTTGCGCTTGGATACTTGTCCCGCCTAGTACTGTGCGTCGGCTGCAGTTCCATGACCTCCGCAGTGGCGCTAATAAAAGAGGGCGCGAGAAGAGAACTAGCCGGCAAATTCAAGCTCATTTTCACATATTTTGTACACTCTGAAATTAAACATATCAGAATTCTGAACCTTGCTTGTGCACCCTAGTATGATTTTCCGTGAGTCGAAGTGAGTCACTTTGGGGTCCTTAACTATAGAAATCCCCATAGGGCTAATACTGTGTTGTGCCGCCATAATCAAATCAACATTGGAGATGCCTACAGAAGCGACCTCTAGCGGCGTTTTGTAGTACTGCAGCTGAACAGCTGTCCGGTTCATTACTTCCGGGAATGCGCGGACAGGCTGCGCAGTGGGGCGCTTCCGCCATTTTGGATTTTTGTTAGCTACGATGAGAAGACGAGGAAGAGAAACGAAGAAAACATAGCGGACTTTCTTAGCCGCCAAGACGTCTTCCAAGGAATCTGTGCATTCCTAGACCAACATGGGACCTAGTTCTTCAAAACCGAGACGATTATAAGAAATTTACTGCGATTTAAAGGAGAGTTGCGAGGAAAAATATTTTGCGGGTTTATATTTTTAACCACAACAAGGCCGGCTGCAGCTGTTGTTGTTGTTATTATTATTATTTTTTCTTGATGATCGCGTCTTAAAGTTGAAGACATCGGACGGGCCAAGGAAGGTTTCTTAAGATTAAGATCCCGTCTGGAGGAGTGTAGGGTTGGGAACGAGAGCGGTTTTCAGTGGGCCAGCCGGCATCATGTTCCCAGGGTTCGGGCAGCAGCAGTACCCGGGCCACCCGCCGCCACCTGGGCCACCCGGACCACCTGGACCAGGTGAGGCAACTACAGGTGTTACACCTGTTCGTGTGTGTGGGAGTTGTAAAGGTAAAGAAAATATAGAAAATAGAAAAAGTTTATGTTTGATGAAAAAAATGATGTATCCATATCCTCAAGGTAAACATTTTTGAATTGTTATTGTTATTGTTATTATAACCTTGACCTTAAACAATCACAAAGGATCAGGTGAGTGCAGGTGGACAGGTGTTGCACCTGTGAGGGTGGAGTGAAGTGTGAAAGTAACAGAAAATAGAATTAAGCAAAATAGTTCCTTTTGGATGAAAAACGTTTCAAATGTGCTGAGCTTAATATAACGTTAAATGTTATTGTTATTGTAACCTTAAATTGAAACCATAACAAAGGACCAGGTGAGTCATGTACAGGTAAACAGGTGTTACACCTGTGTGTTACACCTGCCTTTAAAGGGTGAAGGTAACAGAAAATAGAAAAGCTCATTTTTTATGAAAAAATAACTGATATTTTTGTTAAGCTGCTAATGTTATTGTTATTGTACCTTAAGCTGAAACAATAACAAAAGATCAGGTGAGTTAACTACAGGTGAACAGGTTTTACACCTGCCTTTAAGGTGTGAAGGTAACAGAACAATACAATTATATAATATACTAGTAAGTGTTATAGTCTGCAGAGGAAACTAACACAGTAACAGAGCCCAACCCCATATCTGCTTGGAGTTTGTATTCTGAGTCACCATCTTTTGTGTGTTTTTTGTGTGAGTAACACACACATATATATATGATAGGCTGTATCTGAGGTAATATAGGTGTGCATGGTGTGAGTCAGCATTTCCGGCATTTTCCGCTGAGTTTGAAATGACTTCATGTTTAATTTGCATCGCGATAAGATTTAATTTCCAGAATTGCAATTTACATTTATGAAACATTCATGTTGCTATTTTCAGATGTAAAACTTTACCCAAAGAACCAATTTAGATGATTGCGGCACAGCTGTGCATTTTATTGTCAGGCTGTTGGCCATTTTTCACATCCTCATTGAAATATTCCCCTTTCATAAGGAATTCAACACATGTCATTCAAAATGACAACAGGTGCCCAAATGAATTTTGAATGAGCAATGGAGCACAGTTGTATCTCAGATATTGTTGTTTGAGGAAAGATGACTGTCGTTCTCTGACTTCAAGAATACCTCAGGAATTAGTAGTACTTTCCTAGAACTATCGCAGAGTGGAACTCGCTGTCACCAAGTACAGTAGGGGCATAGATAGCTTTAAACAATGTCTAGATAATACTGGCTATACAGATACAGAAGCTGGTGTGTTACGCCGAAAGATGGTTATACCGGCTATACAGATACAGAAGCTGGTGTGTTACGCCGAAAGATGGTTATACCGGCTATACAGATACAGGAGCTGGTGTGTTATGTTGAAATTATTTTGCAGTCAATCGTTAAGTTTACACCATCAATATTTCACACTATATATAATCTCCAAGCAGATCTTTCGGACTGGCAAGACAGTATCCATTGGCCAGAGGAGTGTCCATTAGCCACCGAAGGTTGGGAAATGGATACAGGACGGCCAATGGATACAGGATGGCCAACGGATACGGTCTTTTGCCACCCAACCGAAAGATCTGCTTGGAGATTACACAATAATATGTATTCAAGCTTTCCTCCCAGCCCTGAGCCCTCTGTTTTCATCTTGACCAGCTGAATTGCAGAATTTCTGCAGATCTTTACATCAGAATGAGTCATATGTTAGTCACAGGTGTGACTGATGCATTATGGGTGAAACCTGACACCACCCGCAGCTGTCAATCATGTTGTTTAAATGTTGGATACTGTAATTACTGATATTTTCACGATAATTTTATGCTCATTGTTGTTCACTGTTGTTTCTGTACCATGAACTTATCATTACACAGTAAGAAATAATTCCTGAATTTTCTATTTTTGTGCCCATTGCCATTGTGAATGATCCATGAACATGAACATTTTTCTCAGAGTCAGACTGTGAAATTTTACTACCGTGAACATAAAGTGAATTACAGTACTTGTTGGTTCAGCTGGCATAGAGCTAGGCTGAACATACATAAAAGTATGTCGGGCCTAGGAAAAAAATGCTGTGTTTCCTGTTTCAGTTCTGAAAAAATTAGGGTTGATAGGTATGGTAGCAAGGGATTATCTTTTTTTTAAAATCTTTTTTTTATTAGACTTTGGCAATCTCTAGTGATCCAACTTAGACTATTGTTTTTTAACCAAGTAAAACTTGCATGAGGACACTTTTGTTTTCAATGTCAATGTTAGAAAACTGATAGCACAACGTTTTATCACTCAGGTGTCAGATAATGGAGCTAGAAAAGGTTGAACACCAAAGGTCAGGTGATGTCTGTCACCATGGTAACTGGTGTTGGGTTATATCATGTTGCAATTTCATAGCAGGAGGGATTTACATGTAGACTCCTGTCAGGCTGTCACCATATGCTAGAATGTGTTTGAGTTAAAGAATTAACAGAGCAGACCATATGCGAAGGTAAACATTATGCAATACTTTGCAAATGTTACCTTTCTAGTGTTACTAGTATTTCTAATTTTCCTCGACTTCATGCCGCCATGTTGTTCTCGCCGCAGTCGGTTTTCCCACGCCCGTTGCGCCCCCCGTCCACTCCTCGCCCATGGACCTGTTCCGTTGCCCCCGACGACCCGACATCGGTAACCACGGGCGACGGATCCTGCTGAGAGCCAATCACTTCAAAGTGTCGATGCCGAAGGGAGACATTCACCACTACGACATTAACATCATGCCGGATAAGTGTCCCAGGAGAGTTAACAGGTGAACACAATATTTGCTAGCAAATGTAGAATATCACCCTTTATTTTTCCACCTCAGTATTTATCAATCTGTTAGGGTGATAATGATACTAGTATTCACTAGATTGATGGAAAATAGTAAAACTAATTCAAACACTACGACGTTAACATCATGCCGGATAAATGTCCCAGGAGAGTTAACAGGTGAACACAATAGTTGCTAGCAAATGTAGAATATCACCCTTTATTTTCCTCTCTCAGTATTTCTGCTAGGGTCTCCCCAGAATTTAACGAGAGGACTCACTGCTCCATCAATGGGTTGATGAATAATCAGCTAATTTTCATGAATTATGTATGTAAGAGAAAACCCTACATGTTAAGTTGCACATTGATTTTTGGAGAGGTGCTAGGATTTTGGAGAGAGGGGGAGCAGCTTGCTTGCCCTGTTCTGTCTGGGTGATTTTCACTAGATTCCAATTTGTTGATGGAAAATAGTAGACTACGATGTTAACATCATGCCAGAATGATAAATGTCCAAGGAGAGTTAACAGGTGAACACAATATTTGCTAGCAAATGCAGAATATCTCCTTCAATTATACATGGATTTCAGCAAGGGAACTTGTGATTATATGTGAATGTATGACTGTAAATGTCCTAAGAGCCAATAAGCTAAAGTCACACAATTTCTTGTACTTTTAACTTTTTTCTGACATGCTATGTACAGTTGTTATAGTAGTTGTCACAGCAGTGTATTAGAATGACATAATTTTTTGTAGCAAGATTCTTCCTTTTTTCATACAGATTGATATTAGTCTTGGAGCACCAAAAAAATATTATTGTGGTGTCTAACTATGTCTATCAGTGCAATGGCCAAGTGGGTAGAGTGTTCACCTTGCATTCGGTAGGTCGTGAGTTCGATCCCCGGCCGAGTCATATACCAAAGACTTTAAAAATGGTACATCCCGCTTTCTCTGCTTAGCACTCAGCATTTGGGAAAGACGGTATGGGAGTTAAACACACACCACTACCAGTGGACTAGCCCCCTGCTGTAGTGACTTCTGTGTGTGGCCCAGGGCTAATGAACGGAGATGGGTGCCGCCCTATGCGTCACTTGACGCGAGAAGGCTCTTTAACTTTTACCTTTTTTTAACTATGCAAGACTGTCTTTCCTCTTCCAGAGAAATTATAGAAAAGATGGTTCAAGCCTACAATCGCATCTTCGGTGACCTTCGACCTGTCTTTGACGGGCGGAAAAATCTGTACACACGAGACCCGCTACCAATCGGAACGGAGAAGGTATGTGGTTGCCATGGTGATGTAGTGATGCGTACCTAGGCTCACGTTCAAGTTCACGTCCAGAGGTTTTGGCCGAGGAAAAAAAATGTTGTGTCTCGTGTTTCACTAAAAAAGATTGTCACTTTGAAGTGTCCATCAAGTTGATTACCATGGCTACAGCCCAACAGACTCATTTTTTAAAATTTCCATCCCAACCGCAGGTGGAGCTAGATGTAACGTTACCGGGTGACGGGGGAAAAGATCGCCACTTCAAGGTGTCAATCAAGTGGGTGGCCAAGGTCAGCCTGTACACACTGGAGCAGGCTCTTGAAGGTCGTCTGGCCGCCATTCCGTTCGAGGCCATCCAGGCGCTCGACGTCGTAATGCGACACCTGCCCTCCATGACGTGAGTTTGGGATTTCACTGCGCTGTTTTTTTTTTTTGTTAAAATGTCTTCCCTAGCTGTTTGGAGAATTTAAGAAAGCGACACCACCAAAAAGTGGTCACTCACATTGGTCAGGTGGTCCTTATGTAGAGGTGGTCACTTGTACTGCTTGAATTTTGTAAAGTTTTCCGCACATTTACAAGATTCTTAGATAAAATGTTCAACATTAATTATAAGGGCATATCCTAGGATCTGACCTATGACACATGACCTCTGACCTTTGCCCCAGGTACACCCCTGTAGGTCGCTCGTTCTTCTCGTCTCCTGAAGGTTACAGCCACCCGCTGGGCGGAGGTCGCGAGGTCTGGTTCGGGTTTCACCAGAGCGTCAGACCCTCACAGTGGAAAATGATGCTCAACATAGATGGTATGTGTTTAAAGTTAAAACACAACAAAGATCTCTCACTCAGAGCTTTCCGCCTTTCGACCAGTCACTCTGGTCTTCCTCAGTAGACTGACCCAGTGAGGCTTGTCACGTGGCTTCTTTGAAGTGTGACTTTGAAGTGTGACTTTGCACCTCCACAGTTTCAGCCACAACATTCTAGCCATAACAGCCATAACAGGCCCAGCCTGTTATAGAGTTTGTCTGAAAAACTTGACCTTTAACCTTTAACATTTAATCTTTGCCCCCTACAGTTTCAGCCACAGTGTTTTACAAGGCCAAGCCTGTTATAGAGTTCATGTGTGAAGTTCTTGACCTTTAACCTATAACCTATATCCTTTGCCCCCTACAGTTTCAGCCACAGCGTTTTACAAGGCCCAGCCTGTTATAGAGTTCATGTGTGAAGTTCTGGATATCAGAGACATCAACGAACAGAGACGACCTCTCACTGATTCCCAAAGGGTCAAGTTCACCAAGGAAATTAAAGGTTGGTTGATAATTTGATTTCCTGGTAACTGGTGCTGTAGCAGACACCCTGTGGTTTTGGGTTACTTTATGTAGCAAGTGGCAGGACAGAGTTGGAGGGGCTGGTCACCAAATATATAAATGTGTTTGAGTAAGAATAAACAGAGCAGTAGTTTGTTAGTCTAGATCGAACCCATGTGAAGGTAAACATTATGCATTTGGTTTGCAAATGTTACCTTTCTTGTTTTGTTTGTTTGTTTGTTTGCAAAATGAAGCTATTTACCCAATGCCTGTTACATACTTTTTGGCTTTGTTTATTTGCAAAAGGAAGCTTTTGTTTGTTTGTTAGCAAAATGAAGGTATTTACCAATGCCTATTTTGTTTGTTTGTTTATTTGTTGGCAAAATTAAGCTATTTACCCAATGCCTGTTAATACTTTCTGGCCTTGTTTGTTTGTTTGAATGTTTGTTTGTTTGTTAGCAAAATTAAGCTATTTACCCAATGCCTGTTACATACTTTCTGGCTTTGTTTATTTGTTTGCAAATTGAAGCTATTTACCAATGCCTGTTTTGTTTGTTTATTTGTTAGCAAAATGAAGCTATTTACCCAATGCCTGTTTTGTTTGTTTGTTTGTTTGTAATGTTTATTCGTTAGCAAAATGAAGCTATTTACCCAATGCCTGTTACATACTTTCTGGCTTTGTTTATTTGTTTGCAAAATGAAGCTATTTACCCACTGTCTGTTTCCCCGCATGTTCTCCTGGTTCGACTGCAGGTCTGAAGGTGGAGATCACTCACTGTGGACAGATGAAGAGGAAATATCGTGTCTGTAACGTCACGCGCAGACCTGCACAGACACAGACGTGAGTTTGATTGTTGATGTGTGTGTGTGTGTGTGTGTGTGATTGTGATTGTGTGTGTGTGTGATTGTGTGTCTGTGTGCGTGTGTCTGTGTGTGTGTGTGCATGTGTGTGTGCTTGTGTGTGTGTCTGCGTGCGTGTGTGTGCGCGTGTGTGTGTGTGTGTGTGCGTGTGTGTCTGTGTGTGTGTTTGTGTGTGTGTGTGTGTGTGTGTGTGTGTGTGTGTGTGTGTGTGTGTGTGTGTGTGTGTGTGTGAGTAAACAATGACAGATGAATAAAAACCTCTGAGACTGAATTGTGTGAACAGAGTCACTTTACTGATGAGATTTGTCTGTGTTCCACCTTCAGGTTCCCCCTGCAGCTGGAGGATGGTAGAACAGTGGAGTGCACCGTGGCAAAATACTTCCTGGAGAGACACAAGAGGAAACTCGAGTGAGTCAACTGATTCATCGTATTTTTTTCAATTGTGTTTTTCAAATTTACCATGTTGCTCCAAAGTACATATTTTGGTGATACTTCTGCAATTTTTGTTGCTGTGTTTGCCATCATATTTATGTGGGTAACTATTTGTTTTAGGTAGACATGTGAACTATTGGACATCTGAACTATTGGGCCTCTTTGTTAATTGTTAATACTTGATAATTAATTAACATAATGAACTTTCTGCAGGTTTCCCCACCTACCCTGTCTACAAGTGGGACAGGAGCAGAAACACACCTACCTTCCTCTGGAGGTGAGGTTACCTACTTAATCTAAGTATACAATATATCTTATTGGGTGGGCCGGCTACTCTCTTTGCAGCCAAGGCCTGAATTGTGAGGAGCTTACAGTTATTGGGGCTTAATCGCAAGGGTCTGGAGCGGCTGCCATTCAGTGCTAACTTTATTAGCTGATTATCTGTACTTTGTGATGCCAAGTCTAAGATAGTTCAATCCTGCATTCGATCACTCTGTTACTTTTTACACCGTTACCGGCTAATTTGCATACTGCTCTGTTTTCGACCAATGGCTGCAGGTGTGTAACATTGTTGCCGGGCAACGGTGCATCAAGAAGCTGACGGACATGCAGACCTCCACCATGATCAAGGTCTCACACCGAAGTTTTAATATCTACCCATAATGCCTTATTTGTTACAAATTTTAACCCTTGTCCTGCTGGCATTTTTTAAACAATATTTTCAAATAATTTTATGTTTTAATCAGGTCGTAGACCTTTGACTTTTTTTGCCCTGCAGTGACATTGAAATAAAAATGCTCATCGTAAATTTTGTGCTTTCCACAGGCCACAGCTCGGTCTGCACCGGACAGAGAAAAAGAAATCATCAAGTTGGTGAGTGAAAGATTTTCCTGAACAATTTCAGGAGTTAGAATAAAGTTTCTGTGTTTTTTGTTCTAGAAAAAAAATTCCACTCAACTTGCGTCAGTTGTAAATGATATGGCAATGCCCTGGACCAGGCGTCTGTCACCATGGTAACTAGTGCTGTAGCAGGCACCCTGTGGTGTCGGGTTACATTATGTATCAGGGCACACTTGGAGCAGTTACTGTTACAGCAACTGTACAGTAGTTTGTTAAGCTACATGTAGACTGCTAGACAATGTGAAAGAAAACACTATGCATTAATTTTGCTTTGACAATGTTACCTTTCTATATTTTTTTAAAAATTCATCTTCAGATGCAGAAAGCAAACTTCAACTCTGACCCCTACGTGCGTGACTTTGGGATCAACATCTCGACGGACATGGCGGAGATTGAAGGTCGTGTCCTTGACCCCCCGATGCTGCAGTACGGAGGCAGGGTAAACAATGTAAACGGCGCACTCTGACCCCGGGTTATAAGGGCATGGGGGGGGCATGGCAAGGTGAAGGTCAAATACTGATGAAGGTCATGAAATTTAAGATACATTTTGCGATCGGCACAAAAGAATAAGGATTCCAAAAAACTTTTTAATTTGTATATCAAAATTTAGAAATAAGCAAGGATGTAGAGACAGATGTTCTGCTTTAATTTTGTTATCTTTAATGTCTTCCATCAGTATTTGAGTATTTCCTTGTCTGGGGGGGGGGGTTGCTGTGTGTTTGCTAGTAGAGTAGTTTGATTGTCAAATTGAAATATAGTGCAAGTGTCTACATGTAGGTTAGGCCTGTCAGACAGTACAATTTTAATTATTTGTTATTCTTGATGCTACCATACCATGTTGATTCACAAGAAAACAGTGACACTAACTACTACAAAAATGTACTGACAAAAGGTAGAGCATTCTACTTGGAACATGTGTTACTAACAGTTTTCCAAATCTATAGTAGTAAATATAATACTACTGTAACAGTTTTCTTGTGTATTTCATTGCCTGGATGTCTAGTAATTATAACCTTTATCGAAGTATCACTAATTTGTACTGTGCTGTACCAATTCTGCAGACTCGGGCGACGGTTGTACCTAACCAGGGTGTGTGGGACATGCGCGGGAAACAGTTCCACACCGGGATCGAGATCCGCGTCTGGGCGATGGCATGCTTCGCCCCACAGAGGCAGTGCAGCGAGCAGGCACTTAGGTACGCACACACACTAGTACTGTCCGGTTTATCGTCTGTTGTTCCCCATCTTCCGAGGGTTAGACATGCTTGCACTGCAATACTGAGGCTTGATGGCAGCACGCCACTTGGCTCTGTCCTGTGGGTTGATGTTACGTCTACTAGGTTCAAGTGGTGGAAGTCCTCCCTTATGTTGTCAAACCATTTTTTCTTTGGACCTCAAGGGTTTTGGAGCACATCTATTTCACCATGGCCTCATGGAGTTAGTATATCCTCTGCCGTCACAGCCCATGTCTCAGAAGTGGTAGATATGGGAGTTGTATACTTTTATTAGGCCTATAGGCAAAAAATGTTGTACCGGTTGTACTTGAGTAACTGCTTTTTGGCGTAAAAAATGTTGTGTTTCCTGTTTCCCGACTGACCCTAGAAAAAACTGCAGACCCTTTTGCTGTAGATACAGAAGGCTGCCCAACTAGTGTTTGCTAGCTTTTTTTTCTTAGTACAATGTCATGTATAATTATATCATTAATAGTACTACAATTCTCCCCCTGCTGCAGAAATTTCATGCAGTCCCTTCAGCGGATCTCGAATGACGCAGGCATGCCCATCCTGGGCCAGCCGTGTTTCTTATGTTTTCTGAGCTGCTTTAAAAGTTTAACAGTTATTTTGTTTTCCCTCTGCTGCAGAAATTTCTCATGGTTCCTGCAGCAGGAAGTCTCATGATTCATTACAGAATGTTAGCTGTATTTTAAAAAAAAATGGTGCTGTTTTTCCCTCTGCTGCAGAAATTTCACACAGTCACTGCAGAGAATCTCGAATGACGCAGGCATGCCCATCCTGGGCCAGCCGTGTTTCTGTAAGTACGCCACCGGAGCAGACCAGGTGGAGAAAATGTTCCGCTACCTGAAAAACACCTTCCAGGGCCTGCAGCTGATCCTGGTGGTCTTACCTGGCAAAACACCTGTCTACGGTAAGGAGCAAACAAACAAACGTGTAAACAAACAAACAAACTAGGAGCTACCTGGCAAAACACCTGTCTATGGTAAGGAACAAATATGTATACTAAGCACCTAAACAAACAAGTAAATATGGCTTGTAGCTGGTTAGGGTTGGGTGTTATGGTTGAGGGGTCAGGGTTGAGAGGTCAGGGTGAAGGGGTCAGGGTGGAGGGGTTAGGGTGGAGGGGTTAGGGTGGAGGGGTTAGGGTTTACAGGTCAGGGCCAGGGTGTTGTTGTTGACGACTTTTGTTTTTCCCTTTAGCGGAGGTGAAGCGGGTGGAGGTTAGGGTTGAGGGGTTAGGGTTGAGGGGTTAGGGTCACTGTGTTGTTGTTGTTGTTGACAAGTTTTGTTGTTCCCTTCAGCTGAGGTGAAGCGGGTGGGAGACACGTTGCTAGGCGTGGCCACGCAGTGCGTCCAGGTGAAGAACGTGATCAAGACGTCTCCGCAGACGCTCTCCAACCTGTGCCTCAAGATCAACGTCAAGCTGGGAGGAGTCAACAACATTCTCGTGCCACATATACGGTATTTTTATTTACTTCATTGCTTCAGCTGTATAAACGACAGCCAGGGTTGCCCATCTTTTCATCTCTAATTGTCCATTTTATGACGATATCAGAAAACAATTACTTACCACCGTGTTCAAAATGCTCCCTTTCCCACTATACCCTACCACGAGAAAACAATTTTACTACTAAAATTGAAGAACCCACATATTATACAACAAGTGGGTAAATTCATCTTCCACTGCATTTATTTAATAATTGTATGTTGGAGACTGTACATGTTTTCCCCCCCTCCAGACCTCGGGTGTTCCGTGAACCGGTGATCTTCCTGGGAGCGGACGTGACCCACCCACCCGCAGGCGACGAGAAGAAGCCCTCCATCGCCGCGGTACGTTTCCATAGAAACCTCACGTTACCATAGCAACCCGCTCACCCCCTCTCCTCTCTTCCAGCCCTCACATTTTCCTGGAGCCGGTGGTTTTCCTGGGGGCCGATGTGACACATCCACCGGCCGGGGATGGCAGGAAACCTTCTATCGCTGCTGTATGTCACTTCACACACACTGTGGCAGACTGTCTCTTCTGTGTGACTCATGGTTTGAAAGCACGTCGGCAGAATGTACTTCTCCTGCGCGAAACCTGTGTACTGTGCATAGCACGTCGACAGAATGTGTCATGTAAAGTCGTATTCGAGTACATAAGGTTGACATTACAGTTACCAGTTACTGTAGCTTCTGAAAATGTTGTGTCAGAAAAGATATCCTCTGCAACGTAACGTGAAAATACAGCGTTGACCAAACACTCAATGAAAACTGTGAAAAATCAGGGTTTCATGCAGGTGCAGTACGTTCTGCCGACGTGCTCAGTCTTGGCATGTTTGAATGATTATTCACTGGTGCATATTTGAAAAGTGTGTAACTTTACTTCTAAGTAGCATCTCCTGACCAGGATAAGAGGAAACCTTCTATCGCTGCTGTATGTCCAAAAAACTTCGCTTCAATCACACTTCACTTCAATCTTTTTCTTTGAATGTTGGAATGATTACGTGTGACTTGAGCATGGTTGAAAAGTGTGTTACTAGCATCATCATCATGGACGCCCATCCTAGCCGGTACGCCCCAAGCATGGATGATCTGTAGCTGTGCTTGTACCGTGACTTGTGTATATCTTACTTCTGTGTGGATTTTGCAGGTTGTAGGGAGCATGGATGCCCACCGGAGCCGGTAACATGACTTGTGTGTGACTTAGTCCTTACCCTCCCGTTGTCCCGTTAGGTTGTAGGAAGCATGGACGCCCACCCGAGCCGCTACGCGGCGACCGTCCGTATCCAGACGCACCGGCAGGAGATTATCGCCGACCTGGCCTCCATGGTCCGCGAACTGCTCATCCAGTTCTACAAGTCCACCCGCTTCAAACCCACCCGCATCATCATGTACCGCGACGGGGTCAGCGAGGGGCAGTTCCAACAGGTCAGGGGTCAGGGGTGAAGGTCAGGGGTGAAGGTCAGGGATCAGGGGTAGGCACAGGGTCAGGGGTTAGGCAAGGGCAGTCCTTTATAAGCGCCACCTGCTTCAAAACCCACTGCATAGAACCTGATGTAGGACTTTCTTAAATATTACAATGTTTTTACTATGATTATAATGATAATAATTGTATTGTGGAGCCCTTGGTGTGTTGTATTTTATGATTCTGATCAAATAAACCAGCTTTATCCCCCCCCCCAGGTTTTGTGGCACGAGCTGCGAGCGATCCGTGAGGCGTGCGTGCGACTGGAGATCGGCTACGAGCCGGGCGTGACCTTCATCGTGGTGCAGAAGCGGCATCACACCCGGCTCTTCTGCTCCGACAAGAAGGAACAGGTCAGGACCACGGGTTTTAGGCTTTTAAGGCAAATTTGGTAGGATGAAACAAAGTAACCTACCTACATGTAGTCCCATGACCGACACTAGTCGTTGGGGGGACAAGGCAGACTTTGCAGAGATGTAGCCAGGTCCTCCTGTCTTGGGCTGCTGTCAGGAGTTGTGGGACGGTGAGGGACGTCCAGTCCTTGATGTTATCCAGCCAGACTTTCTTCTGTCTGCCTCGCCGTGTTTCCCTTCAGCGTTCTGTGGAAGAATGATGGTCTTAGCCAGGTTGTTGTGGCGGTTCACATGTCCACACCCATGAAATTTTCTTCGCCATACAGTTGTATGGCTCTTTCGATTGTGGCATTTTTTGGCATATCCATGTACTGGCTGCATACATTCTGTTGTAACAGTTCTAAAGTCATGAGCTAACAGTAAACTCATTAACTCATTCGGTAACAATGTACATTGTAAGTGTCACTGAGAGTTTTAGTGTCATTTTTCCCCGCTAATGTTTGGAAGGAATGTTGTGTTCAGCTAGTTTCTTTGATTTATGTTATGATAGATTGGGAAGAGTGGGAACATCCCAGCGGGGACCACGGTAGATGTCGGCATCACACATCCAACGGAGTTTGACTTCTACCTATGCAGCCATGCTGGTATACAGGTGAGATGGAGTTTTATATTTAGAGACTGTGAAGTCAAGGTATTTTATTGTTTTGTTTCATTTACCCGTTACCTAATTATTAAGTTATTTCTTATTTATCTGATTTATTTGAATTGTTAATCATGTTATTAAGGGAGGCCTCCTCATAAGCATTTTATGCTTCCGGCCTCCCTGCACTGTTACATTTTATTTATATTTTCTTGTATCTGTATTGTTACGTTTATTTTAAAGTGCGAATAAAAAACTGAAACAAAAACAAACTGAAGGGTTCGATTCCTAATCCATGTGTCGGTCTGAGATAGTAGTATAATAGTACATGTACATTCTCAAAGAGTTCAACTTCTTCCTAAAAGTATGCAGCCATGCTGGTATACAGGTAGGCTGGAGTGTTGTACATGTATGGCATTCGTGAGATTTGGGGTTTGATTCCCAAACCAATACATCGTACCGAGTCCGACTTCTACCTGTGCAGCCATGTAAGATGGAGTGTTGTACATGTACATGTACGTGGATTGTGTAGTCAGGGTTTTGATTCCCAATCCATGTATCTGAGATAATACAATACATATACTTCCCGTTTTGTAACATTGATTCCTCCCCCCCCCCCCAGGGCACGAGTAGACCGTTCTATTACCACGTCCTCTGTGATGATAACAGATGATGTTTAAAAGATTTGGGACAATTTCATTTATTTCACGGTTTTATGTACATGTAGCCAGTATCTCATGTATAATGTTAACTTTATTCCTTACCCCCCCCCCCAGGGCACGAGTAGACCGTCCCATTACCATGTCCTCTGGGATGACAACAACTTCGCTGCAGACGACCTGCAGATGCTGACGTACCAGCTGTGTCACACGTACGTCCGCTGCACCCGGAGTGTCTCCATCCCCGCCCCCGCATACTACGCTCACCTCGTCGCCTTCCGCGCGCGCTACCACCTGGTGGAGAAGGACCACGACAGGTCAGGTCATAATCCTTCACCTTTAACCTTTCACTCGCCACGACAGGTCAGATCCTAACCCTTCACCTTTAACCCTTCACTCACCATGACAGGTCAGCTCTGAACCTTCACCTTTAACCTTTCACTCATAGGTCCGCGCTCGCTACCACCTGGTGGAGAAGGACCACGACAGGTCAGATCCTAACCCTTCACCTTTAACCTTTCACTCACCATGACAGGTCAGACCTTAACCCTTCACCTCTAACCTTTCACTCACCATGACCAATCAGCTCCTAACGTCTCACCTTTAACCTTTCACTCACCACGACCAATCAGCTCCTAACCTCTCACTTTTAACCTTTCACTCACCACGTGCATGTGTGTGTGTGATGTTGTCTGACAAGTTTTTTTAACAGCTCTGTAACAGCTGTTATTTTGTTTGTTTTCCAGTGGGGAGGGCTCCCACCGGTCCGGAGACAGCAAGGAGCGTGTGTATGCGCGTGTGTATGCGCGTGTGCGTGCGTGACATGTTACCAGTTAGTTTTCCAGCGGGGAGGGCTCCCACTGGTCCGGAGACAGCGGGGAGGGTGTGTACGAGCGCGTGTGTGTGTGTGCATGACATGTTAACATGTTAACAGTTATTTTGTTTGTTTTCCAGCGGGGAGGGCTCCCACCGGTCCGGAGACAGCGGGGAGCGGACGCCCATGGACATGGCTCGGGCCGTCGAGGTCCACCCCGACACGCTGCGCGTCATGTACTTCGCGTAACCATGGTAACTGCAACCATGGCAACCGTAACCATGGCAACTGTGGCAACCATAACCATGGTAATGGTGGCAACTGTAACCATGGCAACTGTAACCATGGCAACTGTAACCATGGCAACTGCAACCATGGCAACCGTGGCAACTGTAACCATGGCAACCGTTACAACTGTAACCATGGCAACTGTAACCATGGCAACGGTAACCATGGCAATCCAAACAGCCAGCCGTACCTCAACCGACAAATTTCCCGCCTCCTGTCTTTCATACCTTTTGTTATTATACAGTAACCATGGATACCAGCCAGTTAAATTATGAACCCACAAAGTGTGAAGAAGAAGAGGAACATTTGAGACTTTCCAGGACGCTTTTGAGAAACACCGAGTCTTTCAGCAGTGATTGTGTTGCTACAACTGGATACGGATTTTTATGGTGTGATGTTTAGAGAAGCAGGTTTTCATGTACATGTATGTGAGTAGAGATGTAGTGTAGTAGTTATACTCATGAGGTGCTTGCTGTACATGTCTGTATATCTACAGCGCTGAAAAGTCACCAAACAATGTTTCAGTCTCAGACAAAGTATCTACAGAGTATTGTATAATAGTCGTGTGCAAAGTACTGAAGTTAGAGTAAGCGGATTTTAGGAATTGGGTGGTTTTGTGTTAGATAGCGTCTGTCAATCTAGCCTGGAAACCCATATTGTTAGGTTTGCTTTGGTCCTAAAGTATCAAATTTCTGCATCTGTATAGCCGGTATAACCGCCCTTCAGCAAAACACACCAGCTCCACAGGCACGTGGCGCGGCGGCAGCTGGCTACATTACACCGAACCCTTGAACATCTAACTCTAAAAGTTGTTTAAAGCTATCTAAGAATATTGAAGCGGATTAAAGCTAACAAGATAGGATTCCAGGCTAATGTCAATTGTGGAGCTGTCAACTTGTCCGTTTGACTTTGAGTCAAGCATGTTAGTAGAGAATATAGCATTTTTACTGCAATCAAGAGTTTCAATCATGTTATAATTAAGACACGCATGTTCATTACATTCAACCCTGTGTCATGGCTGAATTTTACAGTGACATGATTGCAGGAACAAATTCATGGACAACTTCTCACCTTTCTGTAACTTGACTGAATATCCACCCAATGTCCAAGTGTCCAGACTTGCGCAATTAAGAAAGTGTGAAATATTCCAATGGAAGGAGGAACAAATAACCAAGGAGCTGCTATTTCTTTTTTTTTCCTTTATGGAGCTTTTTTTAGTGAAGAAGAAACATTGTACAGGTTAGGGTCCAAACATTAGAGGCAGCTTTGTCATTACTCTTGAGTAGTTTTTCTGCTTTAGTCAAAGAAAACATTTGATAAACGTTTTATCGAAGCTGTAGAAATTGATGTCAGAGTATATCAAACATTTTAGAATGTAAAAAATATGGCTTTCAGTAACCAAAAATAGTTTTTTGAATTACCAAATGGCATAGCATGGACAGAAAGGGCATGTGTGACTTGAGACATATCATGAGAGTGTTTGATACAGAAATGCATGAATTTTATGCTGTTGTAGGTTGAATATATTTATATGGATGTTTAAAATATTATGTGTGTCTGCAACTTTGTGTATTAAGGGCTGCTCAACTGGAAAATAAAACTTAACACAACGCCACATCAATTAATTTTCTTGTCTCACAGACATTTTAATTATCAGTCGTAAAACCTGAATCATGATCAGCAAAAGGACATCATATAAACTTAGGGCAAGAAGGAAATCTTGGAAACTGTGTCAGGGTACAGATTTTCGGTAACTTTTTGACCTTACTAACATAAGACTCTGCAGCTGATTATGGTTTGGACACCAGGATACGGGACACAGTGACCGTTTTACAGGGGTGCAATCTCCAGCATTTATACCTTTTTTTTCAAACATACACTTTTTGGCGACGTCTCAGGGAGGAGCCTAATGGTACAGTATTGTGTGCAGTTTGCAAGAATTCTAGGAATGGTACAGGCATTTTATCTACAGGCATGCGGAATGTCCACAGGCATTTCTCTGACCCACATCTATGCCCATATTCCTTGAAACCCTTGGGAAGACCTCTCTGCCCCGGATGGCCCTACTTTCTGTGACACCGGGGCTCGTTCACTATACACTCAGGGGAGGAGTGGACTGTATCTGTCTAGACTTAACATGTACCAAATCTTCCTCAAAATCATGAAATCATGGCAGTGCCATGCAAACAATAACCCTAACAGCAATCACTGTCGCCATGGCAATGTATGTTTTCATTGAAAGTCTTGTTGGGATGTTTGAGCTTTACATCTCATCTAGAATGGCATCCTATCCAGTCACAAAACCCCACTAGTACTATCAAACAGTCACATTTCCATTCTTTAGGGAAATCTCTGTTTAAAAAGTCCAGAGCAGAGCTGTGTAGTTACTTATTCCTCATCAGCCTCCCCTCTCTTCAGTTTTCCGATGACTTCCCTCAGCATCTGGTTACATAGAGCAGCGTAGGGGTTCATGGCAACCACTTGAGTCTTCGCAAACTCACTCCCCAAGCACGCCGCTTTCTTAAAGTCATCCAAGGCTGCCTCGTCTCGGCCTTCCAACCTAAGGGGAAACAGGTGATCCACGGAATATTTTATGGAATGGAAACTTGGATAAGGCCTAGGGAAGAAAAATGTTGTGTTTCCTGTTTCAATCCTGAAAAAATTAGGGTCGGTAGGTAGGGATTATCTTTTTTTTCTTTTGTAAACTTTAGTGATATCTACATTGTATATAGGGGTCCAACTTACACAATACAGTTTAACAAAGTAAAACTTGCATGAGGACACTTTTATTTTCAATGCCAATGTTAGAAAACAAATTGTACAACATTTTATCACCTAGGTGTCGGATCATGGAGATAGAAAAGGTTGATCAGCTTGAAAAATTTATGTCCCTTGCAGGGATCTAAGGTCGGCAGGTTTTTCTAGAGTCGGTTGGGAAACTGGAAATACAACATTTTCTTTCCTAGGCCAAACAAGAAATTGGATATCCACGTACATCCACGAAATATCTAAAGGCATACCCAAAACAGTATCCCTGTATCTGAAGGAAAAAGTCTTTTAAAACCAACTTTTCCAGTACAGTTTCTGGAAAAAAACAAACCAACTACATTGGTCCTTACCTGTGAATAAGTCCCCTCTGAGTGAAGGCCTGACACGCCGCCTTGCCTTTTCCCTGGCTCAGGTTAATGGCTTTGTTCAAGTCGTCCAGGGCACCTGGGTAGGAAAACATGAATTTGTTCACTGTTTCATGGTAACAGTAACTTTCATTTAAACAAGTACAGAGACTATGGCTAGAACAGAGCATCTGACAGTGAAAGAAAACAGTACTGTAGGCACCAGGTACAGTACTCAAATTTTTTTTTTTCCGAGGTTCTCATTTTTTTTCACATTACACAAAGCCTAGCAGTGACTGTGTGCAAGTCTTATTAGTTCCCAAAAACATCCCCCTTGAGTAGGAGTGCCTGTGCCCTGTTGTTATACCCTGAGGGTTAGAGGCCAGGGGTTAGGGGTTAGAGGCCAGGGGTTAGAGGCCGAGGGTTAGGGGTCAGTTTAAGTTACCTAGGACATCCCCCTTGGGCTACAGTGCCTGTGCCATGTTGTTATACCCTGAGGGTTAGGGGTTAGGGGTTAGAGGCCAGGGGTTGTACCCTGGAGGTTAGGGGTTATAGGGTAAGGGTTATACTGTAGTACCCTGAGTGTTCAGGTTAGGAGTCAGCTATAGGGTAAGGGTTATAGTACCTAGGACATCTCCCTTGAGCCTGAGTGCCTGTGCTCTGTTGTTATACCCAGACGCCCAGTCTGGTGCCACCCCCACGGCCTGGTTAAACAGGTCCAGTGCCTGGTCAACGTCCCCGTTCTCTGCACTCTGCACAGCCAGAAGCTCCAAACGCTTCGCCTCTTTTACTGCCTCGTTGTCTTCTAGTCCTGAAAAGGTAAAAAGTGGTGATGGAGATAAGAAAATAGATATCTGTAGAAGTGAAAGAAAATGATCTCCATGTCAAATGAACAGCTGACTTTTAACTCTTAACCAGTTGTGTTTGCTATATCACAAGGACTGTCATTTTTAATACTAGGTCATAATTTTCTTTTAAACCTCTCCTATTTAATACCTCCTAGCAGCTACGTTGTTGTTGCTGCTGTGGTTGTCCTTGTTTAACAGCTAATACATCTAACATCCGTGTCCATAATATCACCAGGGTCCATAATGTCACCACCTTGAGAAACAGTGTGCTTAAAGATATTTTTACTGCAACATACCCTAGGTATGTACTAGTACATTTGATGTGTGAAGGAGTGCATACCAAAAGTATGTTACGGTAAAAATATCTTTAAGCACACTATTTCTCAAGGTGGTGATATTATGGACCCTGGTGATATTATGGACACAGATGTTATACTTACATCGCTAGACGTGGTCTCTTGGTGCTAGTTTGCGCTTGGTTCAGTCAAGAGCCAATTGCTTCTCTAGGTATTCCTCTATTATATCAAACAAGGACAACAAAAACGATCTGCTTGTTCACTGCTTCAGGAAGGCTTTCTCTCAATCCGGCTGGCCTTAGGTGATGACATCTGTGTCTCTGTCTACCACGTACGTGCCACTTGGCACGGGCTCGAGATCTAACACTACACCCCCCTCCCACCCTCAGAAAAACCCAGCACCCTCTTTCTATACCTTCTTGCTCCTCGCTTTCTTGTTCGTCTTCCACGACGTCTCCAAAAGGAAGGTTCGGATTAAAGATGGAGTTGAGGACTCGCTTGTCCCGTTCTGTTGCCATGGTGGGACCTTTTTTGTTGTGACTTCAGAGATAGGAAATATATAGTTTGACTGTGTCGTCTGCAGAAATAAGTCGGATCAAACCACGCTGGCCAGTGGGAGCTAATTTTTTTCTACAATATTACCTACAGGAAAGAGGTAATACTGCGTCAATGTACTACGTAACAATTATTTTAAACATATAAAGAAAAATTCCAATTGAATATAGTTACACTGATAAAATCAAGAGATAATTTTACAACTTAAAAATGTAACAATACTGTCAACCACAGTAAAAGTGGACTCTTCCGTTGACCTCACCAATGATTTTGAGGGCGAAAAATGATCAATTATTTTTAAAGTTACCTAAATTTGCAGAGTATCCGTCAGATTATCAAACCATTTAAGTATATTATATACATCATAGAGATTTTATAATTTTTTTTAATTTGCCAACATAGCCGAGATTCTAACCATTATTGTTTTTGTTATCGTGTTTTCAAGGTTGGTTTTGCCGCCCTCAAACTTTGACCCGAAGCCACGTCTCCCGGTACAATCTTATACGATTCTTACCTCAAGTTCCGGCCTGAAAACTGTCAAAAATGTAGCGTTTCTGAATGAAATGTGACGATATAAGTGTTGTAACACAGAAGAACAACCTTCAGTTGATACCGCAATGCCGATTCGCCCGTCCAGTTGACGTTGGTTTCCGTCCAGATGGACTTTTCGAAAGATACAGAACTTGACGCGAAAGGGCCTGAACACCCGCTTCTTCTGTCATCCCAAGACAGCGGTAGAGACGACTTGGACCGTCTTAAGATCAGAGATGGGGAACTTAAAACTAGGAGACGGAAGCCCTTCCTCAGTAAGTTGGATATAACTCTGTAGCCGAATTATAAGTTGCACATATACAATTATTAGCCTCCACCAGGCCTTTGCACAGAAATACGGATCGTAGAAAATAATCGGCAAAAAGGAGAGTAAAATAATTTTTTTGTCCAGGGGAGTCCGGCCACGGGGAGGTTGTTTCTTTCCCTCCGAAGCGGCCAGTCAAACCTACAAGGCGGCCAAACTCCCCTGGCAAATATTCTCCTATATAGCCAGCGTAGTTAGTCTGCTAGAGACTAGATGAGTTGTCTGTTGACAACCAGAAAAGTAGCTTTTTTGGCAACGCTTATGGAGCGGAGACAGTTTGGTTTTGGAAAGGCACTTTACAGGACTTCCCTTCCTGTACGGTGGAGTGACACCCAACAAGCCTCAATCTGTCTTTTAACTGTGTGCCAAAAACACACTACGGATTTGGGTTTGGTTTGGTTTTCTTTTTAATGCCCACGATCATGATAATGATCATTCTGACATACTCAATTTCACCTTCGAGTGAAGTGAGGAAAGTAGTGTAAGTTGCCTTTCGCAAGGGCACAAGATCGGTGACAAAGTAGGGTTCGAACCTGTGACCTCATAGTTCCGAGCCGAACATGCTACTGCTATGCCACACGACCCCACGTTTGGTGCGCCAATGTGTCAACATATGCACACTTGCCACCAAGACACGTACTATTGTTTTGTCTAGCGCCGAGAGTCCGATGGCAGGTGGCCATTTTCTGCTGCCTGTTCCTGGGTTACTTCAGCATTATCCTCTGCAGAGTGGGAACCGAAGTCTCTCTGGCTGCCATGACAGATGACAAGCAGCTAGAATTCACCAAGGTACGTAGAAAACATAGTAAAACGTTGAACTTTATTCCAACACACAACAGGGATCAAATTTTCAATGACCACTGTCACCTTTATCAGGATAATTAATGACCAATCACTTCACAACGTGATCTCGTGAGAGTTCTGGTTACAGACACGTGACCTTATTCACACAAGACTTAAGAAAATTCACACAAATATTTTGTCAGAAGTAAGTCAAGAATTGGACTCACCCAAATTTTCGACTGTACTACTCCAGTCTTTGTCAAGAAATGAGCAAAAAGCGGAGGATTGCTCATTCCTTGACAAAGACTGGATCCAGAGTTGTACAGTCAAAAATTTGGGCGAGTCCAATTATTATTTTTTTTTTTGGTCTTTACAAATTACAGCTCAAACTTGTTTCATGATATATTTACCCACTACAGTTTGATGCCGGGACGGTTTTAGCGTATGGGAACAGTGCATACACCGAGGATGAAATCCCTGATTCTACCAGATCAGAGAAAACTCTACCAAAATTTTATCTATTCGATCTATTCTATTGGCTATTCTCACACAACAGTTTGATGCTGGAACAGTGTTGGCGTATGGAAACGGTGCGTACATCGTGGGTAAGATGCTGTCTGGTGCAGTAGCGGATGTTTTTGGAGGCAGGAGAGTGATGATATCAGCCCTGACTGCTGTGGTTGTCTTCACCTCGCTGTTCGCTAATGTCTACACGAAGCTGTTCTTCATTGGGATCTTCATGATCAACAAGATATTCATGGTAGGTTTAGGACTTTGTGGAACTCAATATAGTAGAGGGGATTCATTCCTCAAGCTAACCTACATCTTGCACACTGCAGTCGTCCCTCAGTAAGACATCTGGAGCCGCATACTGTATGACATAGTTCCCATTTAGAACTTTTATTCAGTCTGTCACACTGGAACTCTGGAGCCATAGTGAGCTAGGGAATGAATGATTTTTCTCCCAGGCTAGCAGCCCCTAGTCTTTTTTGTGGGTCCCTGCGGTTCAGTGCGACATCTCAATTTCAATTTATTTATTTAACCAGTAATTACAACTCAGGCCATTTTGGCCTGCTTTTCAGGTAATCCTGGATACACATACCATATACCTTTGACCCTGAGTGATTGGTTGAAAGCTCTAGGTGAGAGAACTTTTTGTCTTAGATCTAAACATGTAACTACCAATACAGATGAACTTTCATGACAGCATTTGTTTATTTGTTTGTTTATCTATTTTGTTTATTTCTGTGTTGCCTCCAGAGTAGCGGCTGGCCTGCCCTGACGAAGCTGGTCTGTGTCTGGTTTGATGAGGAGCATTATGGGAAGGTTTTTAGCGGCATGTCCATGTCCAGCAGGTCTGGAGGTCTGGCGTCAACCTTTCTCTTGGGAGGTCTCCTCTCCGCAGGTAAGCCTTAAAAAAAAAATCAAAGACTATTTCTTGTAAGTTGTTCTTTTCTGAGGTGGTGTTACGGCTAGGTACTTCTAGTAGTTGGTATGTCCACCAGTTTATAAGTCATTTTGTACATCATGCACAGTCTGGACATTTTTTGTCTGTCTTCCGGTAACCCCCACTGTAGGTTTTTGTTTCCATGACACCAGCACCCCTTTCATAGCTGTAGCACAGCAATGTAACACTTGTTCCTTCTATCCTTATGCCTCAGTTATCTAGCTTAGTGTATTTCTGTGTGAATATGCAATAAAGTTCATTGTCACTCATGATGTTGTCCGTGCAGAATCTTGCAGCTTGATTCTGTACCCTTTCCAGTGTATCAATGTCTAACCCTCATCGGTATGTTTGCCCTTCCTCCCCTCAGGCCTCCACTGGCGAGTCATCCTCTACATCGCAGCTACAGTCGCCCTCTGCATGATGCTGCTCAGTGCCTGCATCCTGCGAGAGTCGCCCGTAGAACTCGGCCTTCAGGCATCCATCAAAAAGCCAAAGGACGACTTTGAGGGGGGGAACGGACACCCGCTGGACAAAGCGGGGCTGACGGAGGCGTTGTTTTATTTCGCCAGAAGTCCTGCCTTCTGGTGTCTGGGTATCGCCAATCTGTTTCTTACAGGTTTGTTCTTTATTCAGATTGCAACGTCAATACACGAGGAACACTATGCACCAAATTCAGCTGATGCTGTGTTCCACACATTGCCATTACGCACAACATTAGATACAGGCAAACATTGCATGAAATACTTACTAAATAGCTGAACAATTGAAACAGGGGCGTTATGGAAGATTTGTCTCTTTAATTGCAGGTTGTATGGAGATGCAGAGCATCCTTCCCCTGTATTTTAAGGACAGTCTGCACCTGTCCCCCGGACATGCAACTCTCGTCGCCTCGTCCTTCCAGGCGGGCGCGGTGGCCTCCCTGCTGATTAGTGGAATCGTCTACGACCACATCGGACCTCGCGCTCGCTTCCTCTTCCTCACGTGTCTCCTAGCGATCTCCACGGGATGTCTGGTCATCCTCTGGAGAGTACCCAACATTGAGGTAACGGCTTGTTGTATAAAGTCTTTTTTCAGAAATAAACTTTAGATCCAACACAAAAAGTTCTCTCACCTTAGAGAGCTTTCGACCAGTCACTCTGGTCTTCCTCAGTAGACTGACCCAGTGAGGCTTGTCACGTGGCTTCTTTGAAGTGTGACAGCAACACTGGTTCAAAGGTATTAGTCTACTGAGGAAGACCAGAGTGACTGTTTTGTATGTTACAAATAAAGGGACAATACTGCTTGTGTAAAAGAAAACCCAGCTATATCCTATGCTTTACTAACGTTTTAGTTTGTTGTAACGGACGACTTTTGTTCTTTCCTGCCCGACAGGCATCTCTAGTCAGGATTGTTTTTGTCCTCGGAGCGACCATCTGTAATCTATACTACAGTGTACACCCCCGTTTTTTTACAAATGGATTAACAAGCAAATCAACATTACTACCACATTACTTACATTTACTACTATTATTACTAGTATCAATGTTTTTTCCAGGCCTCTCTAGCCGGTGTTGTAGTGTTTGTCCTCGGTGCGACCATCTCTACTCCGTACTACATTCCTGGCGGCGTATTCTCCATGTCCTTCGGAGGAGAGCGTTACTGTTCCACCCTCGTTAGCATCCTGGACGTCTTCGGCTACTGCGCCTCCATCGCCATGGATACCATCATGGGGTCAATGACCTGGCATGACCTTTTCACCGCCCAGGTCATGAGCTGTGTCCTGGCGCTGGTGTTTCTGGGAGTGTTCATGGGTACCAAAGCTGCCCGATGATGGGTTTTGGGACATTCCATTGTGTAGATATCTTTATATATAGTGCAGGGCTCAAAATACTAGTCTACCTCTACCTCTGGATGAGCCATGTGCAATACGGAGGCAGGACAGTGAGATACATGTAACAATTAGTACATGTAACAATTAGTACATGTAACAATTAGTACATGTAACAATTAGTACATGTAACAATTAAGGATAATCAATCTTATCTACTGCAGCTATTATTTATTAAAATGTATATATTCAAAAATAGATGTCAAATCAGCAATATTAACAGATTACGTGTTTGTATCAAATATTATCATGAAATATAATCAGATTGTGGAAAAATACACTCAGAAAGGGGGTAATTTGTGCTATGAATTATGTTTATTGGTGAAAGTTAACAATTTTTACTGATTTTTATGTTGCTATTTCGTACATGTTAATTTTATTCAATGTTGTTGAAAAATACCCAAAATAGTGCTGGTCGCGTAGAGTGGATATAGAGTAGATATCAATCAATATATGGAAAATATATGGAAAATCAATATATGGAAAAATAATCATTAATCATGTTTTTTGATATTTGAATTATGTATAATTTTAAACATAAAAAAGAGGCAATCCTGTAGTTTGGGTAAGGTGGTTTTTCTATTGCAATAACAAAATAAAATAGATAAAGGGAGACAAAACTTATTTTAATCGCTTGTTTAATTGTTCAATATTGTACTATTATGTTACATACTAGTATAAAGCACACCCTCATTTGCATACACGTACAAAATGTAATACGAAACCATCGTCAGTGAAACATGGTACTGTATTCTATTTTCCAAATATAAATGAGTTGATACTATTGAAATGAACAACGCTGTGAAGATAAAACCTAAACACGTTCACGTACCAATTCCTTACATGTGCATCTTGCCAAGGACATTACTGGTATACAGATTATATTTCCTTGTGTAGACTAGTCTATAATAAGACCTTGATCTTGATCTAAAAAAAATCATCTATCTGAAGTAAGTGCGAACGGAGACCACCATGGGGCATTGTGGGAAATGTCTGCTGTGTTCCGTTTCCGGGTCATCGGACCACTCCCACCGGTGCAGTTGACCCCCACAGAACGCGCACTCGACCTTGTCCCCGGTTCCCAGGTAATAGAACCCCTGCCTGGCCAACATCTCCGCACCAACCGGGGCGCTCCGCGGCCAATCAAAGAACGTCGACAGCCTATCGGAGGCTTTCCTCAAGTCACGTGGGCGTGACGTCACTGCGGATCCCTCCCGACCGCTAGGCAACCACCTCGCGCGATCCGGATTTCCGGTTTCCGCTCCGGTTTTCCGGAATGGTTCGGAAGCTTTGAAGCGCATCACTTGCGGAGGCAACGATGAAGGATGCACCTGTTGGACCGGATCCGGAAGTGACGTTTTTCCTCGTCTGGTGACCAATAGGATCGCTGTACGTCCGGTCCCGGGTCACCTGACCAGCTCCTTGTAAGAAAAGATCTCGAGCAATCTTCGCGTCTTCTTTCAACATTCCCGACATCTTAGACCGTTGAGTTGGCGTCTGATGCTCAAGACTCTCGATATTGATATAGATTAGTTGTTGACGATTGCCGTGAGTGGATCAGCTCCAAAGTAACTGAAGTCGGTGTCACTATTGAAAAATCACATATAAAAAAATTAATAATGGTTATGCTTTTGGATCAATGAAACTGTGTACAGAAATTCACAAAACCCAACACCAGTGGCTGTAACCCGACATCAACGTTAACCGAAAATCAGCCCTTGTTGTAGTGACAGCAATGTGCCGTGTTCCATAGCTGTCGTTTATGAAGAATTTCATAACTTCGTGAAACACAAAGTCGTTGAAGATCTCAGCTACTAGAGTTCTGATGAAGGGAATATATCAAAGTGTCTACTCCAAAACGTCCGGAGGAGATTGAAGTTAGGTAATATTCTTATTTGTTCAATAACGACTTTTAGTCAGTCCAAGGTTCAGATTGCAATCGAATAATCACAAATGCTGGTTTGAGCCGTTTTGGTTTCATTAACAACTTTGAACTTTAACAAATTAGAATCATATAGTAATTTAGTCTTAAAGCGTGGCGATTTCTACACTGAAACTACCACTCAGCATGGTACACTCCCTCGAGTACTCTACTGCCTCACGTACCAATGCTTTCCTCCTCGTACCTAGCGAGATATAAAGCAACGGCCTATATAAATGCGGCTTACTATTAGTACGTAGTTACAACATTTATCCAGCCGTTACCAACCATGAGAGACAAGACATGAACCGTAGTGTACAGTCTTTTTAAAAGAGGGATTGAAATCAAAGCCGCTTTGAGGAACTGTTCTAATGCGGGATGAATTGAATACAGTATCAATCGATCTGTATCTTTTTATAAATACTGTTTTAGTAAAGACTGACACATTTTCTGATCTATTTTTGATCCAATCAAGTGAGCTAGTGACGTATGTCCTGAGTCGGTTAGTCGCAAAGGTTAGCACCTCCTTAAACACTGTGATACATGGTAATCTTAAGGTGGGGTCGTGAGGGGTAACGACAGAGTGCTTGACTCGGAACCAAGAGGTCCCGGGTTCGAGCCCTGACATGCCACCGATCTTGTGCCCTTGAGAAAGGCACTTAACATGACTTTCCTCACTTCGCTCAGGTGAAAATGAGTATTGTATTGTCCCCTGTGTTGGTGGCGACATTAGTGTAAGGTGAAAAAAACTTGAGTGTGCCGTCACCACGTCTTGTAATTACATGCTTGAATATATAAAACACACACACATGTACACACACACACATACACGGTAATCTTACTGGCTATTATATATAAACCTACCGTTTTTCTTCAATCTGTGACTTGAACACAGAGTTGACTTGCACTTCAAGTTTACAAGATGGCGGCCGCACGCAACCGAAATGTGATGTGGACTCAACGAATAGGAGGATATATCGAAGTTTGTCATTGGATGACTCACCGCGAAACCATGGGAAAGTCCCGTGATGGTGAGTTACTATTCCTGGCCAAAGTTCCCCACGTAATGTACAACACCACTATAGTAGTAGATTCACAGACAACGGGTTAGTACAAGGAAGAAAGACCGAATAGATGTTTAAAAAAAACCTACAATCAACAGAGCTAAGCACTGTGAAAATTGAATTTTAGGCGGTTCAGAAAGGTCTTATCAAACCCACAGCCAATGGTGTTCCGCGTTACATTCGCACCACGTATGCAGGTATAACATAAGGGGATTCCCCCATTGCGACAGAGCAAGTCAGAGTGACGCAACACTTCCGGGTTTGCCCCCCACACACACACACCTGTTTGATTTTCAACAAGCGACGTGTAACTTTTCCTGCTGAAGTGTTTATTACTTGACGTTGGCTGGTACATGATGTAGTTTGAACCTCCCCACCCCTTTGATAAAAAGCTCTCGCTGCCAGGGTCTCTGACCCAGAACTAGCCTCCATAGCATGCCAAAAACTGGGGGTTTGAGAGGGTCTTTGGGAGCTTTTAAGTGCTATTTTCTGATCGCACATAGACAGCATAGCCGGCCTGGTTAAATTACCCCCGTTTTTTGAGAACTGGGCTAATCAGAAAACAGCCGAAGACCACCAATTGCAAACCCCCAGTTCTATAAGCCTGCTACGGAAACCCAGCACCTTGATTTATCCAGAACTACTAGTTCGCCCAGCCACGGTTCTGGATACTAGAAGGGAAACTCTACGTTCTTGTTTACCCAGAGACTGTCCAAAATTGATAACCCTAACCCATTCAGAACAGCGTTATTTTTCTCTGCGTATTTTACTCGTTCAGCGTAGTTGCGCCTAGATCCACTATATGATCATGTTTAATGAAAGTTTATTGCAAATCCATGCCGGGGGCTAATTGCAAGAACATGATAACAACAATAAACAGTAAAATGATAAGTAATATTTTAGATATACATTTGTAGTTATTGTTGGGTTTGATTTCTTTTCCGCATTTTTGCCGTGTGCAGTGGAGTGTGAAATGGCCGACATATACATGTATTAGCCTGTAATACACGGCTTGAGGGCGCGGCTGGAAATAGTAGAAATTGGCCAAATAGAGAGATAACACGCCGAGGGAGTTTAGCCATCTAGTTTACAGTTTGCCGGCCCACAAACTGTAAACTGG